GCCCATTAGCCCACTCAAACGTTGGTCTGAGGCCCAATGTCATTTTTAGTGGGAAAAAAATAAAATTTTGGTGAAAAATATATAAAATAAAATAAAAAAATGTTCAAGCCCTGTCCTAGCCCAGGCCCAAGCCCATCGGCCCGGCCCGGCCCACCTAAGACACAAATGCCCCTTGGTCTTGGGACTAATTTTTTGGCTTGAATTTTGGCGGAATCCCGCGAGGCTTGACATAAGCTGGCTCGGGCCAAATTTACACCCCTACATATCCTTGTTCAGAAAATTATTTTCCAACACTATTAAAATTTCTCATGCAATTAGAGATACTCAAATAAATTCTACAAAGCTTGTTTTGAAAGTCTGAAGCTACTATGACCTCTCAAACATGTTCTTTCCATGGTCAAATTTTTACAAAGTCATTAGAGAGTATTTTATACTTGGAATAAATTGTTCTTCTCAACTGCTGCATGCAACTCAGCACAAACAGCCACTTCAAATATATGTCATTTTTTTTACAGAATTTATTTTTATGCAAAACCACTTGGGATAGTTAGATATATGAGTTGTTTCTCATTTTCTATCGATTTCACAGAAAATGGATAAGTTCAAGAGGAGAAATTGCAGTTTTACTAAAATGCGACAGATTCTGTCCAATTTTCTTAGCAAAATTATTTGACTATCTTTCATTGGTTTTCAGTCTTCAAGCTCTTCTGTAAATGTGTTCTCAACTCAAATATATAGCAAAAAATTCTCACCTTACCTCCTTTTGACATTGTTTGAGGTCCTTTTTTATTTTTCAAACACAGATTACCTGTGCTGGAAGTTGATGTAGTTCACTGTCCCAGAAACCAGTTTTCTTCCAAATTTTATTTCTCCATCTTAAAATCGTTTTTAGCCCTGGAATTCTTCTCGAAATATTTTCCTAACTCAATGAACTAGCACTAGTTGAAATATTGTAATAATTGAACTTCGTTTGGTATGGATTTCATTATTTTTAGTCCAATAATTCAGTGCTGAAAGTAAGAAGTAATGAGAAATTCTAAGAAATTTTGTGATGACTCCTAAGACATTTCTGTAATATTCATTTTGGTTGCCATACATGGTTGTGTCGTGCTATATAAACCTCATGTCATTGTGGCTTTTAAACTAAATTTCGCGCATGTATCAAAATGTGAATTTGACGAAGTAAAAAAATATGAACTCAAACCGATGCATTAAAAGTTAAAGGTGATGGGGATAGCCCAGTTTAGAGTCTTGCGCGAGTGAGTTGCGAACCCTAACATGGCACGGGAAGGTATTTTGACTCTTATCGGTATAGGTGATATAAGGTTAGTGGTGCGCGCGTCACAACATAGACCGTTCTCTTGGGAAAGACCGTGATGTCACGACTTGAGTACGTAACCCTGGTGCGTAGACATTATTGGTAGTTACAGCAAGTAACATTTGAATATTTGACCAAGGGGAAGTCAGAATTGCCCGTGGCCATTGCTTAGTGGTTGAGTAGAAATGGTGCTCCGCGGAGAGTTACTTAGACTTACCTAATAAACTAAACCTATGAGAATTCAAAAGAAAAGTTTTGCATTTTCCTCATGATAAATTATTGCTTTCACTTGCCACTGTTCTTATTATCTATTATTATCATTTCAACTGCTAGCATTTCTGTTATGCTTATTTTATTAAACGTTGCTTGTTACTCTATTACTACACAATATTCATTATTTGCGAGTATTATTATCGGGGTAGGTATTTTCAAGTTGTAGTATCTTATTAAACTCATCGCTCATTGGCATTCCCGTTGCCCTGGCGTTTTAGGCCAGGTGTGACGACCTAGACTTGCTAATCATGAATTTAATTAATTAATTACGTGTTAAATTCTAAATGAGATTGTCCCAATCGAGAAGCTATATATTGTGAGCTCGGCTTTGAAATTGAAATTGACAGCCTTAATGGGTTCAGAAACCGAAATTGGGTACATGGATATGCTAATGAAAATTTTTAGAGGCATTTGAGAAGTTTAATTGAAAATTTATTTCGTCTGATTCGTTAAGGTGTGTTTGGGTGGTTTAATTACAACTTTACACTGCAAATTGAAGGTCGTAGAGGCTTCAGAAACTAGAACGGAATGCATAATTATAATCAACATGATTTTAGGACTTAATAAGAAGTTTTACAAAAATCTGAGTCATAATGAATTAATTTGATTATATTAATTTAATTATGTTTTTAAATTTAATTGTGATATTGTGAACATATGTGTACGGATATGAAAATTGAAAGCCTTAGCGGCATCTGAAATCAAAATTGGTTACATGAATAAATTATTTGAAATTTTTAGAACACTATGATAAGTTTAATTGGAATTGATTCAGTTTACTAAATCTGTCTGTGATCGCATTGAGCCTTAATTGGAACTATTCTGAGTAAATTGAGTTTTATGATAACTTTGATTAATTGTATTTGCCCAAGATGTTGCATGATTAATATCTAATTTAGCTCTATTCATGATTTAAAATTTGATTAAGTGTAGTAAATGTTTGGGCATTTTGTGATGGTGAGTGTAGGAGATTAAATTTTGGTGGGTATACTAAGATCTGGGTGTGTGTGTGTGCAGAGAAACTAGTGTGGGTGTGTGTATGTGACTACACGTGATGTGCAATTCAAATGGGAGGGTGTGTGTGTATAATCTGATACTTAGAATGAAGGTTTTTATTCCTTTGGTTCATTGTGTTGAGAATATATATATATAGAGAGAGAGAACTCATCTAGAGAGAGAGAGCTCAAGTTTTTGAAGAGGAAGAAGAAGAGAGTTAGGAAGAGACCATCCTATAATTTGAAATCAAGCTCTAGGTAAGTGTTTATTTATGAATTAAACTCATCAAATCTTTGGATTTAAGAAAATTATGGAGTTAATGTAAGAGAGAGCTCAAAGATGATGAATATGGAAGATTAGCTCACATGCACGAACATTTATGTGTTCTAGTGTTGAATTCATGGAAGTAAATTGGTCTCTTGCATATATTTTGTCATAGAAAATCAAGACATAGTTGAATTCCTTCATGCATGGATAATTTCATGAAGATTTATTTATATATTTTGCAATTCATGCATGGGTTTTCAAGATTGAAGGAAAATGTCATGGATTTTGAGGATTTAAATTTAATCAAGAAGAAATCATGCATGAGTTTTCCAACTTGAGGAGGAAATCTCCATGAAGTCAAAGATTAAAGTTCAAGATTATGAGTTTGATGTTTTAATTTAAGGGTATGAAATCTTTTCATGGAATTTGAGTTTCAATTTAAAGTTATGAGTTTGTTGGAAGCTATAGATGGCAAATTCAACATGTTTATGGGAGGTTTTGGGCCTTGATTTATTTGAACATGAAGTTGAAATTGCGATATTATATGTTTATGAGTTTCTGATTCAGTAATTTAAACATAATTGAATAATTATAATTTAATGTGTATGAGCCTAATTTAAGTTTAATTGTGTAATTAGTGAACTTAATAAGGGTTTGTATATGATTAGAGACTTTATGTTTAATTAGTTTGGTTAATACATAGCTAAACATGTTTTAATTAAAGGTTAAAGGAAATTAATAATCTAATTAATTCATAATTCTTGTCATTCATATTTAAAAGCTTAAAGCTTAAGTGAACTAAATATGTTTAAGATGATTGTGTATCGTGCTATGCATATTTGTGACTGTAGGTCATGAGTCAAGGACTGCTTGACTAACCGTTCTGGAAGCCCACTGTGAGTAACGTTATTGTAAAGATATACTCATATAAATTATATTCCAAATGTAATTTGATAAGTTATAATTTCTGAAATGATATTTGTTTACGTGAACGAATGTCCTATGTTTGAAATCTATTATGGCATTCATAGATAGTCCTATGTCATGGGGGACGACATGTTAATGCTGGTCCATGACAAATATGTGATTACGAGATCTTGTTAGTCACTTCATTGTGGTGATATGTGTTTAATCGGTATCCGAAACCGATTATTCTAGTCGGAAGACGAAATGTGATATGTTTTGTGAGATGTACTATTATGTTATGTTCTGATATAAGACTAATATGAATGATTGTGTTATGATTTGTTTTACAGATATGATATATTTGGAATTCGTTTACTAACCTCTTTACTTTAATGTTATTTATTGGGTTTTAGCTCACTGTTTATATATATATATATATATGTATGTATAGGTGAGCGTTCTGGAGGACAAGTCTAGAAGGAGTCTTTAGTCGAGCCACCATTTTGACGCCTACTGCGTGATTTTGAGTGCCTCAGAGTTGAGGCTAGGCCTAGAAGGCCGTTGTCAAGCTTTTGATCGTGAATGTATAAGATGCTAAGTTACAAGTTATGTACTAAAAATGTGGGCAAATTAACGTTTTTGCATGTAAATATTTGTTCATATAGATGCACAGCTTATTGAACTATTGGTGCTTTTGAATATTGCTTCCGCTAGTCCTAATTATTTTTGATTGTACAGGAAGGCCTTTGGTAATCTCGGATTACTGGCCAGTTACGATGCCAAACTTTTAGGGGCCGGCTTGGGTCGTGACACCAGGTACCGAAGAAACTGAAAGAAACACCAAGGTCTTGGAAGGCGACGTTCAGCCTTAATTAGCTTGAAGTGTGCCCACGTCCCATGAATCCTTTTCCTGAGTTATCTAGTTTTCTCTAGTTTTTTTTATTATTATTTTTTTATTTTAATATTTGTGTTTTTCTGTCATGAATATACTAAGACCAAGCGTCAAGTTTGATTTGGAGTTGTAACTTAAGAACTTTTAATTTTTGTTTTGTTAGTTAATGGATGATGGCAAACTTGGTGGCAATAATGATTAGAAGTTCTTAATTAAGAAAAGTTGATTTTAAGTTTTAAACCTTATTATGATGTCCTCAAATTTTGGGTGTTACAACTTTATGATTAGAAGTTCTTAATTAAGAAAAGTCGCTTTTAAGTTTTAAACCTTATTATGATGTCTTCAAATTTTGGAGTGTTACATGAAACATAAGAGAAGAAATGAATGCATTCAAGGCCTACAAAGCATGTGTCCCTATTGCATGGAGCCGCAACTTGTACATAACCTTGGTGAGGGGCATTCCGGGAACAAGGAGACTTCACAGGCGAACATTAGGGGCGTTGCGCCTTCGCAAATGTAATTGAACTGTCATGAGATAGAACACTCCTACTGTCAGAGGAATGCTTCAGCAGGTATTAGTAAAGCTTGCAATGAATGCATATTTTTTTAAAAAATAAAATGAACATATTTTATGTTTTTCATTACTAAATGTTTTTTTTTTTTAACTTTTTTTTTTTTAACATTCACTTAGGTTAAGAGATTGGTTGTGATTGAGACTGAGGAGATGTATAAAGCCCGAAAACAGAAGGATGCAAACCATCAAGCTCTACGTCCACCATTTGTTGTGAGCCACCTCCCTGCCGTTGCAAGTGATTCTTCTCAGTGAACTATTCTTTGGAGGTTAGTTCCTATGTCTTCAATATGGGCTGTTAAAATAGACGGCCTCCACAGTATTCAACTTTTAAGAAGGATGTCTAGTACAGTGAACTGTTTCCAAATTCCAAGTACTTTGGCTCGTCTTGTATGTGGTGTTTATTGACCCAAATGTTGGTGGTTGTGGGAGTATTACAGAAAATTATTTGCTATTAAAAAGCTCGTGTTTTATGTACAATTGTGACTATATGACTAAAAGATTTGCAAGGGGGATCCAAAAGTTGGAAGATTCATCAATCTTTTTGTTTAAATGAAATGAGACAGTGGGACTAGTGATCTGATGATTTTCCTGCTTAAATTATTTCTCTGTTCAATAAAGAAATGGTTATGTTTAATGTCATGCCTTGGATAATTGCATTTGTACTGTTGCTTTTGGTTGACTTCATGTCGATAGAGTTCTATTCCAAATAAAACCAGCTATTTAGAGGCTAGTAGAAACTAACTATAATAGGCCCTTTGATTACGACATCCAATTTAAAAGTGATGGTTGAAGAATCACAACTAACTAGGTTGTCTTTCCAACCAATTACACCAATTGGTATCCTTCATCCAAGGTTTTAAAAAGCAGCCGCAATCGTTATGTAACGCTATTATGTAACGGCTATGGTGGTTACTGCCATCCGTTACGGCCGCTTTTACAGTGTGATTGAGATTCACAGGTGTGTTGGTCGTAGCGGTCGTAACGGTGTTATAACGGCCTATTACGTATCGTTACATAACAATTTCGAACTGCTTCTTTCAAAGAAACCAAAAAAAATAAATAAAAATGGGGAAAGAGGGATGATGAAGAGGAAAGATGGAGAAGCAAGAGATAGAGAAAGAGAGAAGAGGGAAGATGAAGAACATATTATTGATTTGTTGAAGTTATAAAACATATGCTATTCTATTTAGCTGCTATCACTCAACCATTTTGTTTGTGTGTGTCTGTCTATATATTATTTGAAAATAATAATAATCATAATAATAAATGTGGTCATTATGTATTTAGTTTCATTAAAAAATATATATATATATATATATATATTTAGAATCTTATTTATTCTCTTACTTTTATCATTATTTATCATATATATAATAGTTAGTGATTGATTTTTTTGTAAAATATCTAGAAAATATAACAGTTGTATAATTATATATTAATACATATTTTATACATGTTAATTTTTTTTGATTGGTTTATTTTATTTTTATTTACAGGTTATCCAAAAAGAGAATGAATATTCAAGTGATTCAAAAAAAAAAAAAACTTCTTTATAAATTATTTTTTTAATTTTTATATGATTACATTAGCATGTATAATTTATTTTTTTAAAACTATATGCTTCCACAAGTATAATAATTAAAAAAATAAATTTATACATCTAAGTCCAATAATTATTTTTTTTGCCACAAGCGTAATGTGGATTTATGACTTATAAAGTCATTAATTATTAAAATAAAATATAAAAAAATTCAGTTTATAGTGATTTAAAAATATGAAATATATTATATCACACTTAAAAATTTACAAAAATTAATCAATATTTAATTTAAAACCCAATAAAAATAATTATGGAAAAAAAATATGCGTATCGGTAAATTTTTTTTCAAATTGTGCAAAAAATAAAAAAATTCACAGTTCTGGTTACCGCAACCGTTATGCTACGGCCTTTACACCCCGCAACCGCAACTGCTCCACCGCTACCGTTACGACAACCGCAACCGTTTTTAAGGACCTTGCCTTCATCATTCTATGGTGTGTGGCAATTGATTGGTTTGTTTATAAAATATTGAGTGGCCTTTGGGTTATTTATTTAAAAACACCATGGTGAATCATTAAATAGATTCTGGACCATTAAATAAATTTGTCTGCCAAATTTTGAATTTTGAATTGGTACATGCTTTGTCATATGTGTGTGTAATTTCGATACAAGTTCTATCTTTGGGCAACTTTTCCAATTTTTTCTTTCATGTTCCTTCTTTCAGAATTTTATATCTGATCATGAACAGTATCGCATGTGGAGCTGATGTAGGAAGGTGGTGTAAGAGGTGATCTAGATCATTTTCCCAACCAAGCACTTTTATTTGAATGTTGTTTGAGTCCATGGCTAGAATGCCATTTTGGGTGTAAAATTTTGGAGTTTATGCATAATGTGAAGGCAAAAACTCTATTCGAAATTTATATATCATGTAGTTTTGGCAACCATAGCAGTAACAAATTAGATGATGGTATGCAACCCATATGGCATTAGATATTCTGGATGTTTACATAAGAGCCAGATCAATTGTCTTGATATTCTCTTTTGTGGAGTATAAACACATACATATTTATGTTATTTATATTACATGAACTTCTCCAAATGTATTAAGTACCCACGTCAGACAGTTGACCCAAGTAGGGGTATGAGATGTGTCCAAAATGTGTAGTTGGCCTGGCAAGCATTTTTAGTCATTCAAGTTAACCATAAAACTATGTATAAAACCTACAATGTTCTATGGCACCTGTGAAAATCATTTTATTCTATAAAATGGAATAAGTATATCAAGAAATATAAATTTTTTACCATGTCTTTGTGTCCTTGGACAAGAGATTGGATGAATCGGATGCTTAGGCACATATACCGCCCCCCAGTACACATACCAAATTCCATGTAACAATGATTGTTTTCATGGTTTTAAATCCATAGAACATTGATGCTTAAACCATTTGTGCTCTGGTTTGTTTATAAATAACTAATATGCAATTGGGAACTACAATTTTGTAGGGTTTGCCTATCAAAATAGGAGGCTTGTAGGATTCTACTAAGAGGGTACACAGATATGTAACGAGAAATGAGCTTGAAACCAATGTAGCTTGGAGGCTCGAGGACAATAGAATGAGCAGGGAAGTGAGGATTGCTTCGGGTCTCAGCTACCTTTAAACATCTCTAATGATGATTGAAAGGCAGCTTAATAACAAAAGAGAAATCACCTTCCTTACCATATATGCTAATTTCGTATTATGAACACATAAATGAAGAGATACAAAATGGGTTACAGCTGATAAAAATTCACCCACGGAAAAAAAAAAAAAAAAACGCACTTATAACAAAACAATTATTTTCTTGCAAAACAAACTGACCTAGATATATATCTAAAAAGAAGCAATCAAATTCAAATTTGGAATCACTTGTTTATCACCCAATTGATTCAACTTTGCAAAAACCCCAACCAATGGTGCTGTATTGTAAGTGCAAGCCTCAGTTTGCATGTAGTTCCCTCTTTGATCACTGAAATTGTCTTGACAATCAGGTCCTCCAACTAATGCTCCAACAACATCATTCGGGTTTGGCTCCTCTCTACTGTACCAATTGTCATACCCTTGGGTGCACCCAATGAACCCTTTGTTCTCTCTGTAGGACACGATCGATGCACCCCTGTGGTGCATCCTTGTGGGGTATTTAGTACCATATCCCACTAGGTAGCTCATGTTCATGGGGTTGGACCCCAAAATGTAGTCCACTTGAGCTTTGGCTAGGTCGAAGAGCTCTTCTGGCCTAACCACTCCTCCGTGGCAGGTGAGCTTCTGGTTTGAACTTTTGAGGAAGTCTGAGTATACGGTGAGAAGGAATGCGGCCGAGGATACGTATTGCATGTTGTTCCATTGCCGGATGAATAAAAGGCCTCCTGGAGTGCGATCAACGTTGTTGGTACCGTTGTTTTTGTTGAGGCATGAGCAGATGTAGTGCTCGGCTTTTGACTGGTATTGGTCTAGGATGTATTTGTGCTTCTTCTGCTTGTCCTCCATTAGCAACTGAAAATTAACAAAGGGGGGTGATGCAAGAAAATGAGGGGAACCACATGGATTGAAAAGAATAAGAGAGAAGAAAAATGACAAATGACTATTTATTCAAAAATAAAATAAAATTGAGAACGACTATGTCACGCTGAAACCGATGACATGTTAACGTTGCATTGGGAACACACGCCGATCAACCAATGTAGTGCCAACACATGGTCGGCTTCATTTAAAGCATTTTAAGTAATGCACTAAAGTAACGGGCAAAATCTAAATATACGGCAAGACATTTCCAAAAATCAACTCTAATGATCTATCATTTCTCTTACCTAATTATAATATTTGAAAAAATTTGGCAAAGTTCTCTCTACTTCTTTCATTATAGAATCTACAAATATTATTTTTAAACCACAGTGTGTGACAACAAATAGGAAATAATATTACATTATTGAATTAGAATTACCCCCATTATAATAGTTTTGTATTGTATGTCGGAATTTAGTTTTGATATTATTATTTTAGACATTTATTATTTAATTTTGGAAAACTATTAGATGACTAGCTGTGATGATATAGAAGGTTTTTCCCTTCTCATTGTTTATTATGGGTTAATTATATATAAAAAAAATTAATTATTAATAAATATCACTTTATCACTCTCATTTACGAACCCGTATATTATAATCATGTTAACTATAAAAAATGTAGAGGCCATATTCAAAAGAAGTTCTTTTTATACAATTTTAATAATTAAAGAAAGTCAATATTTACAACATTATAAATAGGAAAAACACTTAGGCCTCGTTTGGGAACAGGCTAATTTAGTAACTTTTTGGCTATTTGGCTAAAAAGGTAGGTAAAAAAAACTTGTATGTTTGGGATGACTTTTTGGCTAATTACGAAAAGATGTGCAAAAAGTAGAGAGAAAAGAGAATCTTTGACTTTTTGGTATGAGTTGTTGGCTTTTTGACTAATTTAGTAACTTTTTGGCTAATTGACTAAAATAGCCTCTTGCCAAACAAGGCCTTAGACCCCCTTTTTCACCCCATTCCCTTGATCCCCTCTGTCTCTCATTGGACAGATTTTTTTTTTTTTTTTTTTGGTCCTCTCCTCCAATCACCACCCGCCACGTGTGCGTGGGAGTAGTGGGGGTGATTAGAGGGAGTCTTTATCAAAGCCCTTATAAATAAAGCAATAAAATGATGGGGTTGGTAGACTGATCGAATTTGAGGGTATTGTTTCCCGTGAGAGCCTACCATGGGTCCAGTTTTGATAATCTGAATCGTTTAATGTGTAAAATTCGTCGAGTACTATATGTCTGTAAAAAATCACGTTGATTGGATATCGATAGCTATTTTATCGGAGCAAATTTTCGTCAATTGTTTATTTTTTCACTATCCATTTTTTATTATACAAAACTGATTTGATCACGTAACTATCGATATCCGATTAATGTAATTTTTTATAAATATATAGTACTCAACAAATTTTACATATTGAATGATTCAAATTATCAAAACAAAATCCGTAATAAGTCCTCGCAAATTTAGTAATACTTTTTAGCCAAATCTTAAAATGATATATACTAATAATCGAACAGCCCTGGTGTAATTGATATCCATGTGTGTGTGAATGTGATAGGGATGGGATTGAAATCAGTGAGGGACCCTTGGCAGGTGTACAATGTGTACAATTGTCCACTGATACTGTAAATGCAATATATATATATATTCACTTTGCCTTTTCACTGAATACTCAGAATTTTTATTAATAATTAATATGTGATCTATATCATTTCAATTTCAACCACTCTTTTACAGTTTGTATAAGTTTCTAAATAAAAATTCTGGACAACAAGTTTTCTCTTTTACCCAAAGACAAATGATGATATATAATTAAAATATTTTGAAAATTTTTTATAATACAAATTTGTTTCTAAAGTGTATCATATGTAAGTTATTATATTTGTAATCTTAACAATCACATCATAATCAACATCATATATGGTCATAATCAAAAAATTAAAAAAATTATAACAGAACATATTGTACATTTCACAATTCTCTCTTGTCATTTTTTTTTCATGAGAAAAAGAAATAACTATAAAGAAAATATAAATTTCAATCACAAATTAGTCACGTTAAAAAAAAAATTTGCTTATTAATAATATTTTTATAAATTCATAATAAAATTTATAACTTTAATTGTTAAAGTTGATAAAACATATCATTAATTTAAAATTATTTTTAAAAATTGTAATTAAGAAAAAAAGTTATTATGATGTTGACCTCATATGACTGTTCTTGATCCTCTTCTTTTTAGATTTCATCATTCACACAAATGGAGACATGAGCGTCGGTCGACCCCCCTCTCTCTCAATTTGATCTTGTTCCATTATTTGTGGAATTTTGTTTTATCACTTTTAATATTAAACAGTGATTTTTGTCTCACCACAAATCTAAGATTCAAATTTAGAGGAAGTTCGTTGGAGAAGAAAAAGCTCCAAGTTTTTTTTATTAAAATAGTTATAAAAAAATAAAATAAATTTTCTAGCTTAATAAAATAAAATATTACATCTAACTTATAATTATTACATTTTTTCTCTTATAAAAATCAAAAAAATCAAAAAATCCATCCCAAATGAAACTTTTTAACTCCATAAAAAAGCCAAAAAGCCAACCTACATCCCAAACGAACCTAAAGTTTTCAATGTTACATCCCTTTAATTTATTACTCCTAAACCACTCCTAATGATGTGGTATTGATGTTAAATTCCATGTGATAGAATATTTGACAAATCAAAATTTAATACTATCATTAGAGATAATTTTTAAAAGTGATAAATTAAATGTCTCAACTAATTTTCTTATTTAACTCATAGTTTGTAGTTCTAAATTACGAGGCCAATCTTATTCTACACTTGTGTCCTCTCAAAATTCGTGGCTACACTTAAATTACAGTCATAAATAATTTTAATTTATATACATATAAATTGGTTAGTTAATCTTTCTTTCTTTTTCCTGTTTGGAATAAGTGAAAAACCAATGCTAGACCGGACTCATTAATTTGTCCTAAGATGAAAAAAAAAACAAAAAAATACATAATATCGCCTATTAATCTTACAATTAAGTGAAGTAAAATATCAAAACTCAAATTTAAAATCTCCTAGATAAAATGTAAGCCACTTACCATATGAATAGACATGTTGTTAACATCACATTACTCCATGATTGATCCATAGTATCCTCACACATGGTGAGGCCTACTCATATGAAGGAGGGCTATAATTCATTAAAGAGATGGTAGTTTTAGCAACCTCCAAGAAATAAAACACCTTATAATCTCCACATCAATTGTCACTTACTTATGGGAAGAGACAATTAGTGCTTTTTTTCTTTGGTCTTCGAGAAAAAGAAAAGTTATTAAGTAATCTAAGAAAATGTCCCAATTAATTTATTATAGGCTAATGTAGTGGAGTTGCATACTTTTGTATTTGAGAAATAATATAACAACAAATCTAAGGACCAAGAATCAAGATATAGAAAATGACTAAAAAATAATATGTGGTATACATTGAATACTTATATGGTAAAAATTACACTTTGAATGAATCTAAATCACATATAATTTTTATATATACATATTTTTTTGTTTCTAAATCCTAATATTATGCATAATATAAGACGAATCGCGTGATAAATAGAATGAAATAATGCTCTAAAAAACAATTTTCCTTTAAAAAGAGAAATTTATGGTTTCAAGGCTAAACAGATGTGGTGTGCCCATGCACCAAGGATCCTCTAGAGTGTTTTTTTCCTAAAGTGGTGTATTGTGTGGTTGAGATTTAATGTTAAAAAATTGATGTGACTTGTCATTAAATCTCAACCACACAATGCACTACTCTAGGAAACTTTAGAAAAAAAAAAAAAACTCTAGAAGATCCTTACTCGTGGCCATGAGGGTCAAGTCCAACAAATAAAGCTTGTTGTGTCTCATCTAATAAATGGTCCAACACCATCCCACAAAAGTTTATTTATCATGTACATAATAGGACACAAAAAAACTGTAACTAGTAGGGCCTCATTTCAGAGTTTATGATGGATCTGCCTTGCCTATAATTTTCAGAATCGTCTGCACCCATAATATCTTCTTGCATCTTCTTTTCCTTTTCTTTTTTTAAAAAAAAAAAAAAATCCAAATGTAATAATATAAGACATTATGCAATTCTTTATTTTTAACAAAACAATCATTATTATTTTCATAAATTTAAAAATATTATTAAAACACAATCTTTTTATTTTTTTAATCACAGGCACATATTGTCCCGTCCCATACACATCATTACCAAATATAAATGGCTGGGTGAACTCAATGAAGAAAGGGGAATGGAAGTAAAAATCAACACCAATGACTTGGTCTAGTGCATGAGACATTCCTATTAGACTTGATATTGAGTTTAGAGGATTTATTCTAAGTGGTTGTATATCTTTCTTTTACTTTTTCTTCTTGTGTTTTAGATAAAATAATCATCTATCTCTACGTTATTAATTGTTGATATTGAGTTTAGAGGAATTATTCTAAGTGGTTATATATTTTTTTTTTACTTTTTCTTCTTATGTTTTAAATAAAATAATCACATATCTCTATGTTATTAATGGAATTACGTTGGACTTACCATATAACTTTTCGTTTGTTTGATTGTTATCATCGTAGTACACAACTTTCTCTTCTCTATTCCCATCCCACTACTTAACCAATCTATAGCTTTAAAAAAAATAAAAGGAAAAAAAATTAAAAATCATTTTTTTAAAAATTTTTAATTTTGGCTGAGCTAAATTAATGACAATAACAGAATCCAAAAAATGTTCAATAAATTGCTAAGCAAAAAATATAATAAATTTGAGACAGCACCATTTAAAGGTGTAGCACATGGGCCTGTGCCCTAACGATGACCTATTATTTTACCCTATATACCTTAATTAGTCCTCACTTCATCTATCTGTGAACTTTATAAAGTGAAAGTGTCAATTCTAAAGTGGGAATATTATTTCATCTTTGAATAATGGAAAAAAGCAAAAATTCAAAACAGCTTTTGACAGATTTAGAGAGAGAATAATAGCAATAGAAGCAAATTTGAAGTTTGAAAATGAAGTTCTTGGACACTACTATTATTTTTTTTGAACGCCGAAAGGAGGATACATATATATCTATTATTTCTATCTGCACAGTAAAAAGATTAGAGTATTCCACGCAGTGGCGTAGTCAGAAATTTCACTCAGTGAAATCACTTATACTGTGTTTGGTTGGGGGATTTAGAGAGGGATTTGGAAAAGGAAAGAGAAAAGGTGTGTGAAACTAGGTGAAATGTAGGTACATTTTATTCACATTTCACCTAACTTTTCCCTTTCCCTTTCCAAATCCCTCCTCAAATCCTCCAACCAAACACAGCGTTAGAGGGAGAGAGAGAGTGAACAAATGAAGGAATACATCAATGGTAATACAATAATGGTTGTTAGAGAATGAAACGTTGATGGAGCGAATAAACAAACGAATATTGAGCTAAAATTGACACCACTAACTAATGAATAACTCTAAATATATGTGATATATGTGATATTTATCTAGATTTACTGGAATTATTTTGTTAAAATTGACACTACTAAATAATGAATAGCTCCAAATACTGAGATCATGTTGTTAAAATCCAAAACTATTAAATAAATTCCATATGTATTTAAACAAAATTTGAAAGTTTAGACACCACTAAACTATACATAGCCCCGCCCCTGATTCCACGCAAGTTTGAAAATGAAGTTCTTGGACACTACTACTATGATACATATATATGTACATAGTAAAAAGATTAATTTTGAAAAATATTTTATATTATATAGTTAAGAGTTAAGATTAAATGAGTTAAGATTAAATAAATTTAACGGTTATGAAAAATATTGTTTTAAACATAATTGAGAGTTAGGTCTCGTTTGGGGAGTGGTTATTTTAGCTAAAAAGTCAAAAAACTAACTAAAACTTGTCACATCACCTCTTTACTTTTCTGCACATCTTTTCGTAAAAAATTAAAAAGTTACTAAAATAGTATGTTCTCAAACCAGGCCTTAAGATTAAATAAATGTACTGATTAGTATTGTTTTTCAAATAATAACGTGCATTCGGACAAAATAAATTTTGTTTTTTTATTCTTTTTTTTTTCCCTCAAGACTATACAATTAGATTAATTTAAAACTCTACATCTAGTGAATAATTACTAAATAATTTTCATATTCAACTCGTCCTTTTTATTTATCAAATTATTTAAAAATTTAAATATAAAATTATAAACACATGAGATTTGTACTTATCACTAATATATGAAAAATGTTTGATAGTTCAAAATTTTGTGGCTTAAATGGCTCAAATCTATCAAAACGACGTCGTTGTACATTCATTTATACTCAAAACGACGTCGTTTTTGAGTGATTTGAGCCATTTGAGCCACAAAATTTTGAGCTACTTAGCATTGTTGCTAATATATATAGCGGAAAATGATTTGGACCATAAAAATACCCCCCCTAATCCCCCTAATTTCCAATTTGGGCAACTTTTTCCTTTTTTTTTTTTTTTACTTGATATGGAAATTAGGGGGATTAGGGGGGTATTTTTAGGGGATGTAGCAATACCCTATATATAGCCTTCACGTGAGATATAGATTGACTTTTTAGTTATTTTAGCATGCGGCTAAAAAGTCTCATTTAAAATGAATTTTTTTTGACTTTTTTAACTTTTATGAGAAAAAAAATGAAATAATTATGACTTAAATATGACATTTTATCTTATTAATTTTTTAATTTATTTTATCTTTTTTTTTTTTTTTTTTTTTTTTTTTTTTTTTTTTTTTGACTATTTTAACTCAAAAAATTCATGCCAAACATAGCTATAGTTGTGCACACCGTCGTTTAATGGGACATTTTCATCTAAACAGACTATCGTGGTTGATTCTCATTGGTGCATGGTTCCGTAGGTCCCAAGCATGTACCCATCAAAACTGATCACATGGGAGGGTTTCGGTGCAAAAATTAACTAAAAAAAGCAAATTATATCATTAGACTTTACAGTTTAAATGAAATATCATTTTAATTTTTCATAATTTTAATTTAAATAATTTGATTTTTATATTTTTAATTCTGCTACAGTATGGTTTTTCATCATTTGTCATTAAAATTTGGAATGAAAAATAAAACTAGAAAGATTAAAGTAAAATTAAAAATAAACTATGAGGACTACTAATGTAACATATTCATTGCACCAGTGGTCCTTATAATTTGTTTTGAATTTCACTTTAGTCTCTCTAATTTTGTGTATAATTTTTTTCTATTCAAAATATTAACAACAAGTGATAAATAGATCACGTTATAACAAAATTAAAAACGTAAAAATTGAATTGTTCAAATTGAAATTATAAATACTGAAGTGACACATACTTAAATTAGAGAAACCGGTAGTATAATTTACCCTTAACTTAAACATTTGTTATAATAATTATCTAATTCTATCATACAATCTTAATATTTGATATGTCAGTTTAAATGTTTGCACTTTGCTAGAATATTAAAAAAAAAAAATGTGATAAAGAATATAACATTATTTTAGAGAGAGAGAGAGGAAGAGGGTTTAGGTTACCTTAGCAGCCATAATTTGGAGACCAGCGTACTTGACGTCCCAGCTGAACTCCGTAATAGACCAACCAATGCCACCAAAACAATGAGACTTGTCAATTAGGTACTTGAAGTAATAGTCCTCAGCCTCAGCGTTGTCGGTGGCTTTGTAGAGCCACATAGCTCCCCACAACAACTCATCCATGTACCCACTCACCGACGCATAGTAGCTCTTCACCACTTCCACACTCGTGTCATATTTCCCTCTGTACTTGTCCCCAAACTCAAACAACTGACCCCCACCCCCAACAAAAATAAATATAAAAAAAAACACAAATTAGTATTTATTTAATTTTAAAAAAAACTATTGAAATGATGAAAAAATATTAAATAAACTCTTAGTACAATTTTGTGCTTAGAGCTATGTGAGGGGCTTTTAATCAATGAAAAACGTTAACACGAGTCAACCCATAAAATTTTTCGTTATGCTATTGAATGGAACACCATGTGAACAATGACTCGTGATTATGATTCTGTCTATTACATAGTTATAATGGAAGATTACTATTATATATTTAATGGCAATAAAATAGACATATAAATTACTATTACTTCAACTATAACCATATAAATTTCTTACGCTGTGTTTAGTTGGAGAATTTGCGGAGGTATTTGAAAAGGGAAAAAGAAAAGTTAGGTGAAATGAAAGTAAAATATACCTACATTTCACCTAGTTTCACACACTTTTTCCCTTTCCCTTTCCAAATCCCTCTTCAAATCTTTCAACCAAACACAACATAAAGGTTACTTTTTTAATAATCAATGCCGAGATGGATCACCCGATAATTAACCTCCAAAATGACAGACTATTAGGATTTTTTAAAATAGAATTTTATGTTTTGAAAATCATTTTTAAAACAGCACTCATTAGTAGATTTTGGCAAAACAATTATAGAGTTTGAAAAAAGTAACTTGAAAAATGTGAAAATAAAATCTATAGTGAAAATTCAAACTTTATGTAATGTACATTATTTTTTAGCAACTTCACATGTAAGTCAAATTCAAAATAAATCCAAACATACACTTTATTTTTTTTAGCAACTTCTACTCCATATTGTTAGTTTTAGTTCAGGTCACACCTAATTGTGCCAAAAATTAAGTGAACTAAGCCACCACTACACCAACTACATCTCTAATTATATTAATTCAAGAGAGTGACTAAAGATTCGAACCTGTTGGGCATGGTGCAATAGCAGGTGAGAATAATGTGGATTAATTTTCTTGAACACAATCGACGCGGCCGCCATTGCTGCTGCCGTCTCTCCAGCAAGATCCGAACCAGGATTCTCCTCGTCGATCTTGTACGCTTGCCGGGACGTTGTCATGTCCTCCGGCCGTTGCCAGCAGTAGTGATCGGTGTCGCCATCACCCACCTAAAAAAATTGAAAAAATTAAATATTTTTGCTCAAAACAATTAGTCCCAATTGGCCTATTTATTGATGTACGATATGATTATGTAGTACCTCTGCCCATAACACATTTGGGCTAGTGTGTGCTTTAATGAAATAATCAGTCCCCCATTTTATTGCCTCTAGGGCATGTTCCAACTCCCCGGCCGCCGCAATTAAATCGCCATATTCTATAACACTCCATGATAGCATGGTAACTGTAAATGCCATTGGTAACCCGAACTTGACATGGTCGCCGGCATCATAGTACCCTCCAACCAAATCCACCTAATCAAAAACAAAAAACAAAAAACATGTTCACTATTTAATTTTTTTTTGTAATTTTGTTCTGACTAGTTTTTGAGTAAATGCAAAGCTCCAACATAATTATGCTGTGTTTAGTTAGGAAATTTGAGCAGAGATTAAAAAAAAATAGATAAAATGTGAATAAAATATACCTATATTTCACATAATTTTATATATTTTTTCTCTTTTTCTTTTCAAATCCCTCAACCAAACATAACGTTAAAGTGACAACAGACACAGTAATTAAAAGACGAAATGGTGGTTGAGAGAATGATGATAATAATACAGAAGCACTCACGCCTTGTTCGAGGCCGTCGGTGAGGCCGGAGTGGTCGCGCCAAGTGACGCGCTGGTTGTAAGGTAAGCGGCCGGAGCGCTGTGCTTCGAAGTAGAGTAGGCTCTTTGAGAGAGCTTCCGCGTAGTCGAAAGCTCGAGCCGAACTGAAAATGGCATATATGGTGAGTAGAAGAATGGTTTTGTGAACATGTTTAAGGGGTTTTGAGGCACTAAATTGTGAAATTTTATTCATCTTCATCTCCATTGCCTCTTCCCTCCTAAAGAGCTTTAGGAGTGAAGAAGGGTTTGGGAAAAAAACAGAGCTCTCACTAGTACTAATGTGTTTGTTTCTTCAATCTTTGTCTGTCTGTGGCCAAGCACGTGCCCTTTTAAAGCTTCTCATGAGCAGTGACAGAAATGTGTTCTCTCTCTCTCTCTCTCTCTAGATCTAAAGAGAAACGTTACAAAAAGTAATTTTTGTAACGGTTTTTACTTCTTCGCTGGTTTACATATGATATATGATATGCTTTTTGTAGCTGTGTTTGTGGGGGTAAATATTCACCTAGTATGATCGATTACTTTGGCCTTGTTTTGACCTTATTTGAAAAGAGAGTTGGTTTAAAATAATTTATTAAAAAATAAAAAAATATTAAAATAGTTAATAAAATAAAATGTCATATTTAATTTATAATCAATTTTTTTTTTTTACAATCATTAAATTAATTAAAAAAAATCAATCAACTTTCTAAACATAATTTTTTTAGTCAGACTAAAATAATTAAATAGTCAACTTCCCAAACAAAGCTTTTATATTTACTTTTTAAAGGTTAATAAATATATAAGAATGAATGATGTTGCTGTTCTATTGGCAAACGTATGTAAACAAAGTTTCAATTCTTGTAGTTGCTTGCACTTTTTCTTGCTTGTTCCTTGTGAATTGGGATTTTTTTTTTTTGGACAAATATAAAGAAAATATTTTAAATAAAAAAATTATAAAAATATTATTAGAGTGGAATGTTAATGACATTTTAAAAATTATGAGAATAATAATGGTTGTTTTGACTGAAAATAAAGAGATTACAATAAACCATATTATCTATGAAAATTTTATGAAATTTTTTGAATATAACGGTAATGTCATTATTAGTGACATGAAAGTATAAGTAATCTCACCATAAAGATATGTAATTTATTGGATTGTTAGTTACATTTGACATGTGAGATTCACTCTCTATGTGTTTATTTACTATTAGCAGGTGATATCACATACCAATGATGACGTGGTATTACTATTATATTGAATTTTTAATCAAATTTTGTATAAAAAAAATAATTTATCATTATATATTTTATTTTAAGACTTGTATCCGTATTTTTTTTATGTTGTCCATGGTACACTAGTTATAAATAATATTATTTTTTTGATGTTTTTTGAAATCAATCGTAAAAAGTTGCTAAAATATTTTTGTAAAAATTTTCGACACTGTAATTAATAAGTGTCCATTTTAATTTAATTTTCTAGCTCCGCCACTGCCCATGGGGGCCTACCATGGGTCTCGTTTTGATAATCCGCACCGTTGAATGTGTAGAACTTGTTGAATACTAATGCTTGTAAAAAATAATATTGATCAGATATCGATAGTTATATGATCAAATCAGTTTCCACCACCGTCTTCCGTCGCCACTTGCCACCACTTGCCATTTCTCACTCTTTTTTATATTTTTAAATTTTTTTAAACATTTTGTCAATTACCAAACGCGTTTGTAGTTTATGTTTTTCTAAAAATAAACAAAAACCAGTTTATAAAATTTTTGTAGATATAAACTGAAAACGTAAACGTTACCAAACACACCCTATATGCCTGTAAAAAATAACATTGATTAGATATTGATAGTTATATGATCAAATCAGTTTTGTATAAAAAAAAATGGACGGTTGACAGAAAACTGATCTATTGAGATAGCTATCGATATCCAATCAACGTGATTTTTTATAGGCATATAATACTCAACAAGTTCTACACATTGAATGGTTCGGATTATCAAAAATGAACTTGTGATGGGCCCCCGCGGGCCCAACAGCATCCTCCAGACGGAAGCTAGGCCCAAAATATAATAAGTTTCATAATTTTGACAAATTTTCTTTCAAGTGCTTGTATCCCAATTACTTCATAAAATATTTTTGTATTCTAATAAATCATACCAAATCCTAATTCATGGTATTTTATAAATTATTTTACTCTTACAAATATTTTTTAAACACTTAGCAACTTGGTGATGTAAACATTCACATTAAATAAATTTAACGATATGAATGTTTACATCATGGAACATTCACATTGTCAATGTAAACATTAATGCACTCTTCACCCTATTATTATTAGGGATATTTTGGTAACTATGTTACCAATAAGACTTATTGGAATATAAAAAAATAATTTAGATTAAGTGAAACATAAGTCGGTAAAGATACATGTATAAATAAATGCCCCTATATTGAACTCTCGTAAGTTTTTAATTCCTATAACACTGAATTCATTTTTTATAAAAAAATTCGTTAGTGATATAGAAAAATAATAATAATATCATATCTTTTACACTGAAATATTTATTTTTCTATTTTTATTATTGTAATTTCACATTATTTACATTAATTTTGGTTGATTTAGGCTTACTAGAAGAAAAGTGAATATAGTTATGCCAAAATATAAGATCACTTGTATTTTCTTCATAATTCAGGGTAGGTGGTGATTTAGTCTTCATAATATAGTTATGCCAATATATAAGTTCATAGTTCACTAAAAAATCTTTTTTGATATTTTATATTATGGTAGTAGTTACGTTAGTGGTGATATTTTTTTATTAATGACATCGCACAAGTTTTGAATCCATTAGTCTTGCCCTTATAGTTTACGCAATGAACTCATTAGTGAACTTCATGTGATCTAGAAAGTAAATAAGTTAATTACACAAAGATTTTTTCAATTATTAATGAATATTATTATTTTACTATTCTCATTTATAAACTTGTATATTTTGATTTTATTAACTATAAATGACATCAGTTTTACCTCTTTATAAGGTGATATTTGCATGATTTTTATAAGTGAAGACCTTATATGCATTTCACTAGCTGGTTAAAAGGTTTTACTTATTCGCTTAAATTTCAATTTCTTACTAATTATAAGGAAATAAAATGTAGTGAAAGGGATGTCAAACACAACTTTAAAGTTGCTACATTAGCTTGGGATAGAGTCCCAGGAGAAAAAAAGTTAATAGATTATTTTTAGAGCAATGTTCTACAAATTATCAATCAACACATTCCGTATTATCTTTTAAAATAATAATACAAAAATAATAAGTCTTTTAAATAAAAAAATATATATATTATTTTTTATCATATTTACTTCGCTTTTGATTTGTATTTATTTAATAAATATTTCTTATATGTACATATATATAACTCTAATAATAAAAATATTTAGGTGATCAATGGATTAATTGCAGGATTCTATGTTGCTAATATGCCGGTAGTTTAAAAAAATAAATCATCCAGTTCATGATGCACTAATTAGTTTTTAGACTAAAGTATAGTTTTTATTTTACTTGTTTGTTTGTTTGTTTGCTTTTTTTTTTTTTGTTACAGGAAAATCCTCCCTATCCTTTCGCAGGTCCAAGGCAGCGCCCCTTGCAGAGATCACCAGGGTGTCTTGTTAGCCGTTCCGAACGAGGAGACTATAACTTGGAAACTTGTCTCGATTTCCCAAGACAAGCTTCACTTAAGTCAGGATTCGCACAGGGGAGGAACATTGAACTCACACCAAGTGCTGATTAGACAACTTAAGATCCAACCTCCTAACGAACTGTGCTTCGCTCAGGAAATTGGTCCAGGAGTTGAGAAATGAACCTGTAGCCAATTCTTTTATTTGTTTGTTTATGATATCTAAGTCCGATGTTTCCATTGGAGAGATTGGATTGGTACACCTCTATGAGTGCAAATGTAGAATAAAAAAATGTTTCACTTGAGAAGAGAAGAATTGTTATGCAAACAGAGGGTGCCAGCTTGCTTAGTTGGTGGAATGTCTTGGTATAGCCCCTATGGGTTGAGAATAGATTAATTAATTTTTTTAAAGATAAATATGATAAAATGAATAAGTTATAATTATTGAATTAATTCATTTTATTATAAATGATATATACGAAAATTTTACAAAATAAACAATTTTGATAATCAAAACACTACTTGTAATGGGCTCCACATACCTCATAAATTTGTTCAAATTCAACTTTAAACTTGAGATACACCAACCTACCATATATTACTAAAGATTTAGGATTGATGAGCCTTAACTGGGGATAATATGGGTAGGGACAGCATAATTATTTTATATTTCTTATGAAACATCTGAAATTTTTTAAGGTATAATTACTATAAGGTCTTATTAATCAGATTTATATTGATAAGTCCAGAGTATTTTATTATTATTTTTATGTGTTTGCTTTTCATTTTGATCATGAATTTTTTTTTTTTTTTGACTTTTTAGATGTGTTTTGTATTTGTAAAATAATCATTTGGTATTGGTAATAATACTAAGAAATTTATTAAAGTAATAAATAGTTGAAACATTTTGACTTTTGTTTATGAATTTTGATTAATTTTTAGTTTATTGGTGCTAGATTGTATGGAAATATTATGTGAGAAGTATAATTAAGGGACTTATGTATAGGTCATAATAAGTGGACTTATCCAATAGGTCTTATGATAATTAACGATATTTTTCATCAAACGCTATTAAAAAGTCACTAATTGTTAATTTTTAACAACAGTTAAAAAAATTTGTTACAAAAAATGTCACTAATTATAAGTTTTAGCGATTGTTTAAAAAAATTATCACAAAAAAATCATTAGTTTTTAACTTTCAGCGACAGTTTAAAAAATTCGCCATAGAAAAACATTATTAATTGTAAGTTTTAGCGACAATTTATAAAAATCATGACAAAAAAGTCACTAATTGTCAATTTTTAGCTACATGCAAAAAATCGTTACAAAAAATTACTTTTAGCGATGATTTTACTAGAAATTATTTTCAATAGGACTTGAGAAAAATTAAGTTTAATTATTAAGACCTATTAATAATTTATCCTAATTAGAAATATTTTTATAATGAAAAATTTATCACTTAAAGCTAAAGTAAAACTTTTTAATAAATAAGTTCAGTTTATAGGACTGCTTCGTAACTATCCCTCTTAATGAGGGTCACATTGTGTATGAAACTCTCATTGAAATAAGAATTTGATGAGAGTAAGATGTAATCAACTTTATTCTTATATTTTGAAAAATTATTTTCTGTGACTTAAACATGCACCATGATACACATTA